GGGGGAGAGATTGGGAAGGAATTGGGAAGAACAGATTAGAAGGCAGTGGAACTGGGTGGAGTTATGGTTGAGACAGTTATGGGAAAGAAGTCATTTAGCAATAGGAATAAAACAATCAGCAATGGGTACTTTTGAGCACCTCGGTATGTTCAGCTGTGTGTTAAGCACTCTGATGGATTCAGGAGAACTAGGAGATTAGGAGTTTGTGGAAGCAAAATGGAAGGGAATAACTAGAGAACAGTTCAATACCAAACTCTGAGAGCTGAAATGGTCAGAAAGGGCTTTCTTGGAAAGCTCTACCTCCACTGGATATTGTAGGGTCAGCATGCTTTTAATTAGTGGAGTGAAGGAAATAAAAGATCCTAAAGATGGGTGAGCAAAGTCACGGGATGGGGCTGGAGGAATCTGATTACTCTGCTACTTTCTGTCTCCTCTTACTCTATAGAAGTTAAAGCAAAAGATGTGAAGGAACTCTTACCCCTGATGATACTAATGATAATAATTTTCCTGCTGCTTCTGTTCTGGGAAAATGAGATATATGAGGAAGAAGTGGCATCAACCATAGAGCACCTGCATGTGGACTACCCTCAGAATGACATTCCTGTAAGGTACTGCAACCACATGATCCTCCAAAGAATCATCAAGGAACCCGACAACATCTGCAAAAAGGAGCATGTCTTCATCCATGAGAGGCCTCAAAAAATCAATAATGTTTGCACGTCCCCCAAGAAGATGGCTTGCCTAAACCATTCCACAATTTTATGCTTTCAGAGTGAAACAAGGTTCAAAATGACAGTCTGTAAGCTCATTGAAGGTATCAAATATCCTGCCTGCAGGTACCACATTTCCCCCATAGAGGGGTTTATTCTTGTCACTTGTGATGACATGAGGCCAGTTAATTTCCGGAGATATATTGAATAACTTGAGACCAGCGCCTGGATCTGGGATCTTCTCTTCTCTCTTGGGACACTGATGCTGGCTCTCCCTGATGCACACCTGAACTCTGGACATGGGTAAATGCCTTTAGTGAAATGGGTAGCCACTGGTAATTCATTTATCCTTCCAGTATTTCTGAGCTGGAATTTTTTTATTCTGCTTTAATAAAAAAGAAAATGTCTACTGGATTATGTATGTGTTCCAATTTATTGCCTCCTTTTTTTCGGTCATTGAATGATAGCCAAGAGTGGGCCCTCCCTACACAGGACTTGGATTAGGATAAGGTGAGTGAGGCATTCACTTTACATGCAAAATTTAAGGTGCACCAAAAAAAACCCAGTAATCTAAGTAAATAATATTGTTTTTTAAATCAAAATTAATGCAAACAATCCCTGATGAAAAAAAATCTGAATTTTAAATCAAGGGTAAGATTTAGGGTGAGGTGAGGTACATGAGTTGTGCCAGTACAGGGTCAGATCCTGTTATTTAAATTTTTGATATTTGTTCACCTGGGATTGTTTTGAATTAAATTTCTATTTAAATGCTGCATTAAAATATTATTTATCTTGATTACTGGGCTTTTTGGTACCCCCTTAAATTTTGTACCTGGAGTGCCTCATTCATTTCACCCTAATCCCAGACTTGGTCCTAGGTGTAGAGGCGGCTGGGGTCATCTCTTAAGGGTACATATAACCCAAGGTGCATCTGCTCTTGTTCAGCAGCTCCCTCTGTGCCTTGAAAGAAAGGGAAAAGGAGATCAGAAAGAGCCTGACTGATCAGAAACCATTTCCCTGGAAGACTGGAGAGAAATGGCTAAGGATTTCCCAGGGAGGGATTGAGACTGTCAGAGCTCAGTGTGACTCCTCTTTGTGTGCCCAGAAGAAACAGAAAGGACTTTTCCTCTTTTAGATCTTACAACTGAACTGGTTGTTTAGTTCTTTCATGTTTGACTATGGGCAGAGTATCTTTGGAGTTAGGGGGCAAAGGAAGAGAAGGAAGGGAAAGAGAGGCTCCTAATTCTGGGAACCTGATGTAGTCCCGTTCCTCTCTGAGCCTTAGTTTTCTCATTTATAAAGTGAGGGGGCTTGAACTAGATAATCTTTGAGTTTTTTTCTAGGCTTATTATGCCATAATTCTGTTTCTTAGAAGTATAGAAATGGGCCTTGTTGGAGGGCAGGGTCGTTAGTACTGGGAGGTAGTAAGACATAAGGGGTGCCACATTATGGTGTCACTAATTCTGAGCTGTGATATTTCAACCCTGCAAATGAGAGCAAAAAACTTGCACAGTGCACTAGAGCAGGCACCAGCAATGCGTGAGGTTCAGACAGCCCTTTCTGTTCTGATCTTTTCAGTTGAGAGACTTCAACTATGCATTATTTATTTGTACTTAAAGGTCATGTCAAAATAGGAGGTACACCTATGCTACTTGTTAACGCTGTCTTTTGTAAGCATCAAGCTCTGGTTGATTCCACATATAGAGGGAGGATGGTGACCATTGTGAGTTAAGGACATTTGGCAACCTTGTAAGTGGGCAATGCTTACCCATCTAGGGTGGCCCTCTCACAGCTGAGTTTCATTACCCAGTTCTCTGTGGGAATCCCATTGTCTCTATTGTCCTCATGGAATTTTGGATGTCACTAAGGGAACAGAGTCTTCAGCACCTGAGATGCTGAGGAGGAACAGGTATATGACTTGTTGGGTCCTGGGTAAAACTTTAAAGTAGCTGAAATGTGTCCTTTAAGGCCTGTTTCTTTGTTCTGAACTCTAATTCCCTTTCCTCCTCCTTTCTCTAGGCTTTATTGTCCTTTCTTTCCTTCTCATTGATTTTTCTCCCTTTCCTCGCCCAACCTGCCTCCTTCTGATTAACAACAAAATTTTGCAGATAATGCATTTCCATTGAAGTGTCAGTATGTAGCTGAGACTGTCCAGTGGAATCTATTCTCAGAATATTCTCATTCAATAGTGATCAAAGCCTAAGTCAAATAGCATTTGTAGTTTGTGTTTGTTTATTTTTCTTCTGATGGGCACCCAGCAGCCCAAATCAAACCCAAATGAATTCTGCCCATTTGAAATACACATTTCAGAAAAACTAAGCATCTCTGCACTGCTCATCTGCTTGTTTATTTCCCTCCTTCTTGTCTTCCTGTTTCCCAATTATCACCTCACTATTGATGTTAATGATAGAGGATGTTTAGGAAACAATCTAAATCCTTCTTCCCTCCTTCCTTCAACCTGTACCAAGTCGATGTTCAAGGCACAAACGTGAATATACTGCTTAATTCTTAATAATCTATCAATAATCAGTCAACCCAATTACTAAGTCTTATATATTTTTAGTACTGGGTCTTTGTTCTATTTTTACACAGAGTATATTTTAAAATTAAATGTAATATAAAAACACAAGTCCATATGTACTAATGTCAAATGAGTGGTATAAGAAGTGAGTGGTAAAAAGTTCAGAGGAGTGAGAAATGGATTTGGTAGACTTAAGTAGTAAGAAAATGTGTCAAAGAAAGGATGGACTTTGAAGGATTTCAAGAGTCAGAAAAGAGTAGGTGTTCAAAAAAGGAGCAAAAATGGGGAGATGGAATAGGGTGTATTCAGAGAGAGTGGGTCACACTGATTTGACTAGAGAAGGTTTGCATACCAAAAAAGGGGAGATGGTCCTTGGGAAGCAGGTTGGGGTTAGATCAAGTAGAGACTTGACTAAGTGGCCTCAGGAGAGTAGATTACCTCTTGTAGGCAATGAGGAATACTTCAAGGTTTCGGAAGCAGTGTCATTGCAAGTGGTATTTTTAGAAAAGTAGTGTATTGAAAAAAATTGGAGGAGCAAGGAATGGTGATTAGGAGGTAAGTAAGTGTGATAATGCAGGAGATATAAGTATAGGGGAAGGAGACTTTTAGAGGTAGGAGAGAGAAAAGAGAAAAAATGAGAGCAAGAGAAATAATTGTCACCCTAAATAACCATTCTTTCTGGGTTTCTTATTATGAATTGTCCAGCATTGACCTCAAGTAAAGGATTTTCTACATTAGTCAAGCCATGCTATGTTGTTAATAAACATTGCTGAGAAACTAGTGTATACACCATTCAGTGTTTGATTCTGCACAGAGTAAAAAGAAACAGAAACTACATTCTAGGCTCAGGAATTTTTAGCCTTAATAAAAGGAGAAAAGACTAACATGAATCAACTAACTTGAACAAGAAAAAAGAACATATAAAATGAAGTGCAATATAATCTATTCAAAGAAGCAAAAAAAAATCACGTTGGGCTCAAGTATAAACAGACAGGGAAGATTTCACAGAAGAGGGGGTAGTAATGCTGCCTCCGTCACTGGGATCCTGACAGCCAGATGGAAACTGTGTTGAGTTCTCTGAGCATCCTGGGGTCCGTGCTTCTAGCTCACACAATTCTACCTACCCCTCTTTTGCTCCTCCTTCCCTCAGTTAGATCCAGTCACAGAAACTCCCAGGAAACAAATCCAATTTCATCTCTTGCTCTGCAACAAGCTGGAAGCTTTCTCTACAGGATCAACTGACCAAAGGAACTGGTAAAGACAGGCATCCCATGACTGACAATTGGTGGGAAAAGAAACAAGAGAGGGGGAAAACAACATTGTGGGTTTTTTTTACAAGTGGCTACCATGTGCCCGGTACTGTGTGAGGCTGTAGGAGAGATAACAGTAGTGAGGAATGTGTTGGGTGAGATTCTTGTGACCCACTATGAAGATTACAGACCCTGCCAATGAGATTATAGACAAAGAGAAAAGGAATAAAAATAACTCCTTGGTTCTGGACACTTTAAATGTATTATCTTATATAATTCTCACATTTCCTATTTTTTCACATGGGGAAACTGAGGTTAGTTAAATGAGGTAGCTTGTTAGTGGATAAGCAAGGGTTTAAAGCTGAGTGTTCAGACTCAGCTGGGTCTTTTCACTTCATTACACTTCCATTAACAGATGTAGGAGTCTTAGGTTATATAGAGGGGTCAATCCTGGGAACTGTCATAAAGAAAAGAGAGCTATCTCTTTGATGTTCTCTTTATTTTTGTCTTTTACTCTTTATTTTAATTCTATGCAGAAGAGATCACCCTAGTTCTCTGATGGAGACCTATCTGCAGCTACTCGGCCTGGGGTTGATTCTTGTAGTATCTTCAGGAAGCAAAATGGAGACAGTTAAAGAATTTTCAGAGGAAGAGATGCAATATGACATGGTAAAAAGTGACCATGAAAAACAGACCATTGAGGTGTTAATGAACTTGATTCTGCTATGTAAAAATACTGGCCTTTATATGTGCAAGGATGTTATTATGTCCTCCTCATTGCTGACATTCAGAAGATTACACTATGGCTTCCCTAAGGGAAACAGTACAGGTAATGACAAAGAGTACTGCAATGACACGGTGGTCTGGAGAAAAGTTTCAGAAGCTAATGGGTCATGCAAGTTGAGCAGCAACTTTATTCTTGGCTCCATGAAAGTGATCCGTGGGGTCCCCAAGGCCCCCAGCTGCAAGTGTGTACAAAATCTTGGCATAAGCTGCTCTGAGAGCTCAGAACTGGAGACCACTATGCACCAGCTCACTATGGGCAAACAGCTCCCTAGGTGCCAATATCACAGTGTTAGCCCCCTAAAGAAAATATTGACACTGCTAACAAGTCATTCTCTGATGAGCTGGTTAGTTAGTGGCTCCAAGTTGTAAATCCCACAGGGCTGTGAGACTATAGTCTATCTAAAGAAGGACATACAAATATGATCATTATTATTAATTGCCTTCTATTATCCATATCTACTCTTTCAGCACTGTAGTAAATTCTTGATTATTTATGCTAACTGGGGGAATGAAAAATCCAAAATCGTGGATAATTCAATAAAAACTTATAACAGATCCTGGAGTGCAATACTTGCTTTTTCTATTACATGCACACACATACACACACACACACACACACACACACACAACACACACACACACACACATACAAGCACAGTTTCCCTGA